CCGAAAGACCACCATTGAAGGGCCAGGTAAGCTTTCTATTAAGCAAATTATTTTCTTTAATTTCAGATTTTTTTCTTGATCTTATTTGTTCTATTGTTATTTAGGGCTTCTAATTTCTTTTCTCTGATTTCTAATTTTTTTCGTTAGGGTTATCCATGGAAGACGTAAAATTGAATTTGAATAGCATTTGTTTTGATAAAGATGATCCAAAGTTGACTGAGGAAGTGCGATGCTTTCACGGTTTGTTGCTCACTTTGAAAACTTCTTGGTCTGATAATAATCCGGGTAGAAGATTTTGGTCTTGCCCATACTATGGATCACGAAAGTGTAAATATTTTCGATGGAGGGATGATGTGGTTAATGAACGCTATAAGTTCGTCATTCATAAATTGGTGAAGAAAATGAAGGACATGAATGAACTATTAGTTGCAAATGAAAAGAAAATAAAGGAGATGGAAGAAATCAATAGCTTTAATGATAAACAAATTACGGAGATGGAAGCTCAATCTGTCTTTACCCAGTTGGAAGAACATTCTAGTCTGAAAGAGATGGATGGAGTGCTTTCAGACTGTGAAGAGGTAGACAAATTGATTGAGGTGAAGAAGAAATGGAGTACCTACTTTAACCTTAATAGAATGTTCATGGTGTGTCTCTTAATCATGTATGCTGCTGTTTTGATCAAAATAGGTAGTTGATGTTGCTGTTTGGATCATAATAGGTAGTTGAAGGATTTCATGTTATCGTAGGTTGTTGTTTGAATCAAAATAGCTAGTTGAAGATTTCTTTTGGTTGATGTAAGTTTCAAAGTGTTTATGTTTGCTAGTATGTATGGAAGTCAATGAAATTGATTTTGTGTTGGATGCAATATCCTTGTTTCTATGAATGGTTATCGTGTATGTTACTACTTCGTAAGTGTTTATGTTTAATGTAAAATGCATATACAAAACACAATTGGATACAAAGTACAATAGAAAGCACAATTGAATTAAACAAGCAAATATAGCATACATTAGTTGATAACAAAATTATTGTATCAAGTTAACATAGATGTTCAACTGGAGCATCACAATTTCAAAACATACAAACATGGTAAATAACTTGCCCACTAACATGGTAAATAATATTACACCATCTTTGATCTCAAAAAACTATCAAAATGTTTTAACTACTTCCATTGTTCCTATGATTGTGATGAAGCCTTTTTCTGTCTTTTGTTCACTCTCATCTCATCCCTCATCACTTCAAGTTGATTTGATGTCATTGCTTTTTTTCCTTTCCACCTTACACCAGTTCTTGGTTTGAAACCAAGGTCCCCAGTAACATTAGCAGAACTGATAGGGTGTCCAGAGCCTGTATGTAATAGCCTATTACTTGGCAGTCCTGGCTGTAATATGTAGGAACAAAATTAAGACAACATTAAGGCAACATTAAAGTTAATACAAAGTTATCAGAGGTTTTAGGACTTACATTGTATGTTGTTAAGCCATTTTCAGCAATAAAAACTCCCATTCCAACTGTTCAGGACTTTTTAGTAGGTACTGCATTAGATTGAGAATAAACAGGTGAAGCAGGTGGATTTGGTGGAGCATTTGTAGTGTAACTTGTTGGATTTTCAAACCACTCATGCAAAGATGTCCTCTTTGGCACTCCTATACCACTTAGAGGTACTTTGAAACCCCTGTCTCTTCCTGGTGCTTGAACCGTTGTATTATTCTTTCCCCTACCCCTTCCAATGCCTATGCCTCTTCCCCTGGCAGGTGTTGTATCAGCCCTTTCAATGTTTATGCCTCTTCCCCTTGCAGGTGCTGTATCAGCCCTTCCAATGCCTATGCCTCTTCCCCTGGCAGGTGTTGTATCAGCCCTTTCAATGTTTATGCCTCTTCCCCTTGCAGGTGCTGTATCAGCCCTTCCAATGCCTATGCCTCTTCCCCTGGCAGGTGTCTAAAAAAGGACTTGAAAATGAAGGGATTCAATAGTCATACCCCTGCCTATAGTTAATGTTGCAATAAGTGCCTCATTGTTTGTTGTTTTTCTTGGCCTTCCCCTAGGCTTAGGAGGAGGTGCATCAGGATTTACATTTGTTTTTCTTGCCCTTCTCTTAGGCCTAGGAGGTTCTCCATCAGTAACAAGTGCTTCAATAGTAATAGTAGGTGTCTTTCTTGGCCTTCCCTTAGGCCTAGGAGGTTCTCCATCAGTAACAGGTGCTTTAGTAGTAGTAGTAGGTGTCTTTCTTGGCCTTCCTCTAGGTTTAGGAATTGCTCTAGAAGTACCTGTTTCATTACTTGGTCCAACAGCAACAGAATCCTACAACATCAAATAGATAACAAGTCAAATATCTCAAATATATATACCATAAATAACGAATAACATATAAATGACATACCTTTAATGGACAACTCCTTTTGTTGTGATTTTTTCCATGACAGATGCTACAAGTCATGTAAACACCTGTTCTTGGTAATTTTCCAGACTTTTTTGTCTCCCAACACTCTTTGTTTCTTGCCTTTCTTGGTCTTCCTGGCATAGATTTAACAAGTGGTGGTTCCACATGAGGATTTGTTGAATCAGACCACATTTTCATGTTGGTTACTGGTTGTAGGTAATGACAGTAAGTTCTTAGATAAGTCTCCTTACTGTAGCAATCATCAACATAGTCAATTGGTTCCCAATTCTTGTAAAGAATGGCAGCAATGACATGTGGACATGGTATTCCTTTGAGCATCCATGATTTACAACTACATGTCCTACTGCTCATATCAACAGTATGGACATAAGATCCATCTGAAATTTCAAAGCCTCTTTCTCCATTGAACTCAATTTGACATTTCATTGACTTTGCTATGTTCTTTTCAAGCACTCTCAATGCCATTGGAGAAATATTTGTCAACCATGTTTCTGGAAATTTATGAAATTGACCTAGTCTATTCATTACCTTTACCCTAATCTCTTCAAGCATAGTGATAATAGTTTTATGTCTTGGAGCTAAGATCCAAGCATTGAAGCTTTCAGCCATATTATTATCTATGCTATCACACTTAACATCAGTCCTAAAGTACATTTTGCACCAAGTTTTGACATCATAGTGAAGTAAATCTGGAACAATTTCTTTTTTACCTAGCAATGCCATGTGAGCCAAATTTGCCTTCAACGCTACCTCAAAGGTGCTTCTTGCACATTTCCAAAATTGATTCCTTCTTTCTAAACCTCTGTAATCTTTTGCCCAGTTAGCAAAAATGTGTCTTGCACACATCCTATGCTCCACCTCTGGTAAAAGATGCTTGACTGTTGATGTAAGCCCCTGCAATGAACAAAATAACATTATTGTTAAAAACAGTAATAAAAACAGTAAATTAACCAAAAACATACCTTTTGCATATCTGAAATGAGTGTGTAATCTCTGCCATCACCTAATCCCAAGTCCTTTATCAACAATTTCAAAAATCATGCCCATGTGTTTTTATTTTCATACTCTACTACACTCCATCCAATAGGCAACATTTGATTATTAGCATCTTTAGCCACAGCAACCAACAATTGTCCTTTGGTTACACCCTTCAAGAAACATCCATCTAAACCAATACATTTCCTACATCCACCAAGAAAAGCTTTTCTACAAGCATCAAAACATATATAGAAACTCTCAAAAACCAGCTTACCATTACCTTCAGAATCATCAACTTTTACTACACAAGTGCTACCTGGATTGGTCCTCAACAATTCATCCCTATAGTCAAAAATTCTACCAAACTCTTTCAAATGATCACCCATTAGTTCCTGTAATATTCTCTGTCTTGCTCTCCTAGCAGTAGTCTTCCCAACATGTATTCCTAACTCATTTCTTATCAACTGTTGAAATTTGAAAATTCTAATGTTTGGTTGCTCAGTGATTCTATCTTTGTAGTGCTTATGCAAGAATTTAGCATTACACATGTAATTTCTTGTGGTCTTCACACATTTGTGCCAAGGATTGTAGGTTTTAATCACAAAGTTATTAGTAGCTCTATCAAGACTTGCATATAACAATCAAGGACACCCTTTTCTACATCTAACCCTCACCTTTTTTGGGTTATTTGTAAACTTTTCTAACTGGACACCTTTTTGAAGTGAATATTTTGTAACAGCATCCCTAAAATCATTCACACTCTCAAACACCATGCCCAACTGCCACATAACCTTTTCAGCAGTTTTATCAAAAACAATTCTTCTACTATCCCTCCTTGTCTCATTATCTGAATCAGTTTCAACACTATAAGCATCAGAACTACAATACACATGCTCATCCCCAACAACTTTACCCTTTAAGTTTTTATCAACAGGTTCAGTCTCATCAAAACCCACATCTGGACCAACTTCAGCAACTGGAACTTCTTCAGGGTCTTTTGGTGCTCTTTCTGTTCTCTTCCTCCTTTGGTATGACCTCCTCTCAGCCCTTAAGTTTATATTTTCTTCATGGACATCACTTTCATATTCATCATCACCTTCATTGAATAGATCTTCATGGTCTGAATCTGAACTATTTTCAGTTGACTGGTCTGAATCTAGCACTGAAAAGTCATCCTCAACAACAGATTCAACAGTTGGATTAAATGTTGGTTGAGTAGGTGCACCAGTCTCAGGCTCAACAGTTGCAGTAGTAGTAGTTGATGTTTGAGTAGGTGTAACAACCTCAGGGTCACCAACTGGAGAACTTTGA